CAATATCCGTTCTAAGATAACAAATATATCCGTCATAAAATAACGAATAAATATCTGTGTAGAGCAAACAGCACTATTGGATATTTCAAAATATATATTAAATAAAAATAATATAAAGTACCGATTTTCTGAGATATCTTTTATCGTTTATTTTACGTAATTGCTGCACCAACATTTAAAATTTGACCACTTTTATTTTAATCTACAATAATATTAAATAAAATCTCACAATTGATCCTAGGAAAAAATTTAAAATATACTTTATCTTTGAATAATTGAAGGACTCCCTGCAAAAAAGTTGCAATCATAATTTTGATAAAAAGTGTTTTAATAGAAAAACGCTATTTCTGCATTGGTTACATCATGTTATTTTTTTATTTCCTGTAAAATTAAAAAAATATTGGATATAATGCTTTTTCTCAAAGAGCCCTTCAATTATATAATCTATTACACATGCGTGTACATGTAGGTATGTAATACACAAAAGTACAATTAATTTGGTATATTCAGTTAAAATTATTTGCTTTTATATTTTTCTAGAGAAATATCGAACTAAATGTACAAAAAGAGCATTATTTTTTTATATCTACAAAGTATTTTGGAACAATTTCCGTAAAGATTTGATAATAAACATAGATGCAACAGTGAACTTTTCCTTCACTGACGGTCTTTTTGTTATAATAAACTTAATCATGATTTTATCAAAATTGTTCTTCAATAGTTATAATATCACACCAGAAGAAATAGAAAAGAATAACTAGATGTTTACTAAAAAATGTGTTTTTGGAAAAAGATTTTCCGAGAATTATCTGATTTTTCTGACCTTTGATCAAATTTATACGTAAATTAAAACAATTTTAATGACAACTTTAAAGTAAATTTAATTAGGTAAACTTTTTATTTCCTTCTTTTTTTATGCTCGTACGGTAAAGGAAAAAAAGTAAAATTAGTCGTTTCAAATGTCAACTTTGAAAAAATACTGAAAAAATTGTTCATAGGATAAGTAGGTTAATTTTTATATAGCATAAAATATTCAATCTTTTATAAAAGAAACAACAACAAAAATCTGTCATAAATATAATATTAAAAAAGAGTCAATGTTTAAAAATTAAGGAAATATTCTTTCAAATAAAACAAAATTTATCTAAAATGAAATTCTACAAAATATTAAAAAATGTAAAAATGTTAACAAATCTTTAGAGAGAGCGTCTTCGTACTCATAATATAAAAGTAAAGTTTTCAAAAAAGCGATTTCGACAAAAACATCATGACCAAGTTACGTGAGTTTTTCGGACGAAGGACAGTTACCTGCAAACTTTCGGTTTTTCATGTTTTTCTAAGTAGATAGTCCCTCGATGGGAATGCAACGGTCGATCGTAGGACCTAATGTGCACGACGGAAATTTAGAAAGTCATAGCGAGTCGTGTGCATATGGCCGACTGGCTACTCAACACGATTCTATACGCTCGAAACCGGTTCCAAGCTTTTCGCCGGAGGGGCCCCGTGACTCGAACGTAACGACGCATGTTCGAGAACGATAAGCTGGTGGTCACGGCGTGGCTTGCTCTCGCAACGCTCGTGACGCGAGAGACGCAAGAAAACTTCATAAACCATTTGGAACAAGCGCGTTCGCCCCACAGTATTCGTTAACTAAATGTCTTCATTCATTACATTCCTATACGTATATCGTGGCGTCTAAATATTTATCATAATTATCGGCATCATCTCGACAATAAAGAATATTTCGATATCTGACGTATACAAGGTGTCTTGAAATACGTAAACTACATTGTGTGGCAAGACTTCTTCATAAATTTCAAGCCGAATTTTCAATAACACAAATATCGAACCATTAATCGTTTCCTTTATCTACATATTCTCAAGACTTTATAAAGTGAGAAAAAGAAAAAAGAGAAAAAATTTGTTATTTAAAAGTTCTGTTTCTTTTAATGAAATTTAGTTTTCAATTTTAATAAAATTTCTAATAATTTTAATGCCCAATTTAATACACTTTGCTAAGAAATAACAAAATTCAACGAAGAACGTAACCCGAAAATATTCACACAGATGTGACAGCTATAAAAATAGTTTTTATCGATTACATGTATTAATAAGGAAAAGTTCACGAAGCTATATTGTTTACTTTTTAAAACTTCGTTTTCAAGTACATATGTAATTCATTAAATACTTATTTATCGATATCTTTCCTTGTTTGACGATAAACTAATCAAAAATTTACTATAAATCTTTTTATGATAGTTGTCATATTAAATTGTTATGTTAAGGTTGATTGCCTTGTTTAAAAAAATGTATTGCTCAGTTAACTGCAATTTTTATTTTTAAATAAAATAAATGCCAAATTATTTCATTTTTCTACACTTTTTACGAAAAATATTGTTTTGAAAGAACTGCAATTTCTCATACGAATTATGTATCAAATCATGTAATCTCATAATCTTTACTTTCTATGCGATCTTTGAGTTCGAAAAGATAGAGACTTATATTCACCTACGTGTTAAAATCACCATTACTCCGGATTCTGAATCGATGCGGAAACTTCGCTCTAAACGTCAACTTCTTTCAACCTGACTCGACTTTTATCGTATATACTCGCGTCGCTCGCAAAAGCCTACAACGTCACCCACGTTGAACTTTTGTTTGACAAATTGCTCTTGTCGGAACAACGATTGCAATCGATGGGCGCGATGGTGAAAAAAAGAAGAGAAGGAAAACGAAAAATGACACTAAAAATAAAAAAAAAGCAGGAATATGTGGACGCGATATCGGACGTCGTTGTTGCGTGTATTTATTTATGACAAAGGAAACTAGGGACAACGAGGGTAAACGTTGCCGCATCAAGTAACACAGCATCGCGCACGTTGCTTTCAACGTTACCAGAATTCCTAATTGATAAGAGACAACGGACTCCACGTTCAGACCCTTAGAATAATTTCCACCAAGTTTCGATTACCTTAATCGGCGATTAATTCAAAAGATAAAATTGCATACAGCAAGATTTTTAGCTACATCATCCACCGTCCATGATATTCAATTTTCTTTCAAGTGTGTCAAATAAAAGAATTAATAATTCCATGTTAAAATTGTACAGTCACGAAATTAATAGTGCGCCAGTATATCGATTTCTTCAAACTGTTTTCCAAGTGTTTAAAATTGTGATTCCACGCTCTCATTACGGTTACCGATAATTTGACATTTAGTCCAAATATAAATATAAATTACCAATGCCATGTGCAAAACCATAATTTTCATCACCTGGAAAATAGTTTGAAGAAATCATCGATGTAATGTTCGGTTAATTAGACTCATAACTATAATATACACATATTTATAAGAAACATAATTTATGTATGAAAACAAAGATATATATTTCAAGAAGATATAGACGGAAAGTGTAACTGAGAAAAACAGACTTGTGAGAGAGTACTTATTGATTCAAATTCTATGCTGTCAAGAATTATGAAAGTTGTAAGTTATATGTATACATTTAAATTCGGGACAGAAAGAGATATGCGATATATTTGAAAAATTCTAAAGATTTAGCATACAATAAAAAAAAATGAATTTATATAATATATTCTTGTTTCTTTTATGAAATAATTGTGTAACGAAATAATGTTTTGAGAAAGAAAAAGAATTAGCTTTATATACCTATATAGCGCTATATGCCATATATCACAATATGTCATGTTGTCACGAATGTTGTGATCCTACAGATTTTTTGTTCCATAACTCGCTCGAAACTATCTTAAATGATAGATTCTCTGAGAAATTCATAGCCAAGCTTCAACAAAAATATCAAGGGAACTCATACACACATATTATTTATTGCAACTTTCTGTTAATATTATTTTTTGTTTATAACTCGAAAAGTACCGCTACCTCAATATTTTTATGAATAAAAAGTCAAATCTACGGAGAATCTACAGAAAAGTGCATACTATACGCTAATGGTAATTACTTATTTCAAGTGTATTTAAAAAATTCATATATCTCCGCAAATCTACCATAAATTTACTAAATTTATTCAATCTGTAAGTAATACTTCAATCAAGATTATTAAAACAAATTCAATTTGCTTATAATGTGATTATTTCTTTGGTCAATTTTATAATACTCTTCAACAGAAAATAAATTCTTGTTTTAAATACGTATTATTGAATTTTTCTAAAATTTGTAATATAAGTATATTTTATAATTATTATCAAGAAAATATTCTTTGTTAGGAATAATATTATTTAAAACAATAGAATAATTTTTCTGTGTGTAGCATAAAATGTAAACATTTAGAGGATCATTTTGAATCTAAAGTATTTACAGTAAAAAAATAATAATTGCTAGCGTAAAAATAATTGAATATCAATAATGCTGAGACATAAAGGCAAATTCAACGACACTAATAATCAATTTGAAAAGGATCCTAATAAACAATAGTAATATCATCTCCCCTTGTAAACAAGTTTTACACACCGTACAACGGACATAAGTACAGCTCGAAACGAAAGGTCACATTGAAATATGAAAGTCAGAACAAAATTATAACGAGAGAAGAGAATGTAAGTTGCGCGCCAAGAGTTGTTTAAAAACCGGGTAATTCTAAACTTGTCGCGTCGCGCCTGTACTTTCCACACTGTGTCGCTTCCCGCCTGTCGCCTACAAGTCGCGTACAACATTGCACGATACACGTCCGTTTCATTACACAACCTTTGCAAACGACCGATCTTTTCGAAACAGATCGTTTTCGGTACGCTTTTCGTGTCAAACAGAAGTAAAATTTTGCTTTTCCCATCAATGTTGTCAAATGTTTATTAGCAAATTTTAAATATGGCGGAAGTCATTCGTTAAACGCACAAAATACAGAGAGCAAGTGTAAATAGACAAGCACCATTTGTACTCGATTTAAATCTGAGTCGGTGGTAAATCGTGCGGTATCGCGACAGGATCGAGGAGTATTCCTATTGAATAATGGAGAAGAGACTTACCGAGAAGACAGAGCCAATCGGATGGTCGACGAATGCGCGTCGAGTTACACCGAGTGTCCACAGCAGTCCTCACCGCCGACGCTGAGCGATCGGAGTAATCGTCCGCCACAAAAGTTCCCGAAGAAACGCTCTTTCCGGGCGCGACAGGGTCCAGTTTTCGAGTGGTGCGGCGAAGGAGTCCGTCGAGAGAGAGCGAGAGAGAGAGAGAAAGAGATTGTAAACTGGAGTGCGAGGGGCCGTCGAACGAGGGAAGAAACCGATGCTTGGCACAATAAAGTGTAACACTAGAACACCACTCCGCCTTTACCGAACGCGTCACTGCGTCACTTTCGATAACGTCCGGTAACTGTAAACTGCCAGTAACTGCCGCGACGGCGACCGGCCGCGCGTCACCTGCTGCGTTTCACAACAATCCGGCGCGGCGCCGGCCGTTTTAACGATGACGCGCCCGGTGCGCGAAAGAAAAGTAAGAGAAAAGAAAAGAGAAACCGTGAGCCACGCGGACGCGTCGCACACGCAGAGTCTTCGACCGCGGCGCGAAAAACACGTACGGGACGGAACGTAACACGAGTCACACGCCGCTCCAGTCGCAACTGCCCCGACTGCCCGCTGCCACCAACGACCGAACTCACCGAACTCTGCTGCACCACTCTGCCTCACCAGCCCCCTCCTAACTCCTACCAGTCCACTTACTACTCCGTCCGCCTGCGCGGTGCGCCTGCGCCTGCACCATCGTTCTCCCTCCTTTCCTCCTGCCACGTTGCGTCGCGTCGCGTATCACCGCTACGCGGTTCAAATTCACCTCTTGTTTATTATCGTGACCATTCTCACTATTCTTTACCTTAACCAAGGGCGATTTTGAAAAATCAACGTTTGAATAATCCGCACTTTCAAAAATAATAATTTTTCATACTCTAACGGTTTATTCGTATTATTTCAAGTCTACAACAATTGTATTATCTATACATATACTTGACGCTATATACGAGTACCGTGCGATCATTATTGTGATTATCTCTTGTGTATAAGATAGGATTCTCAATTTTTGTCTTTTTTATTTATACTTTTGATTTTTCATCACTTTCTTTATTTTCATAGTAATCTATTCGCTTGATAAATACGTACTTCTAATGTTAAAATGAGGTAAATACATATTTGGGTAAAGAAAGAAAAGGTAAAGATTTTGAGTGTAAAAAGTGCAAGTAGTGCAAACAGACATAATACTCCAAAATATCAATGATAATCGATATATATATTATATATATATAATTTTTTCTTTTATAGCTAGTAATATAAAGTAAGTTTGATTAACTTAATTGGCGATTAATTCGATTAATACAAGCCAATATACAGCAAAATTTCCAACTTGTTATTCTTAATCTAATAATCTTACCTTTTGCGTGTTAAAATATAAAAGCAAGGAAAAAATCCAATTAAAAAAAGGGGGGGGGGGAATTAATTTAAAATGTAAATTTTCTCTCGAAATTTCACATATAACGGAACATTAAAGAGATGCCGTTAATCGAGTAACGAGACAATAATGTAATTAGTTAACATTGACCGATCATTTGTAGCACCGAGAAGTAATTGGTCACGCTCATATGTTATCGTGTAATTCAAACAATTTGACCGAATATAAATCAAACATTTAATATCGCCGCGCCCTGATAGCAGCGTGTACATCATAATCCTTGATATCGCATTAAGAACGCGACAACAGCCGTATTACGCGACCACGTGTCTACAAATGCGCGTGTTAAGTATCGCAACATACGTACGTTATACGAGAGCGAGTTTCTCGTTAATTTGTAATTTGAGACAAATATGGCCCGACGTACGTCATTTGCGTATCGGTGAAGCACTGCGTTTGCTCCGGATCGTTGATCTGCCATAAAAGAGACTCTCATGAGCGGTTACTTTAATCGCAGCGGTTACTTTAATCGATTTAAGGGCCGATTCTACCAACGTCAGTTAACGTTTGTCCATATTTATCTCTGTTTTAAGGGCCGATACTACCACCAGATGTAAAAAAAATTTTAATCAACTAAATGCTGAGGAAAATTAATCGATTGATATAATCAACTACAAAAGCGAAAAAAAAAAGGGAGCTTTCACCGCGTGTGAGTGCGATCACGTATGGAACTTTTTTCCCAGATTTTTTGTGCGAGCGAAACTCTTTTTATCCTCGAAATTTATAGTGATAACTCCGCTTCCGCGACGGAAGTGCGTTACGAGACAAAGCGATGACGCGTGTAACATGTACACGTATAATGTTAAACGATATAACGTGATTATATCGTGCGTGCATGCTCTCTTTCGCCACGAGTTATTTCAGACCGTAATAGATGCCTATGTACGCGCGCGCGAGCGTGTATTTGTATGTGAACATGCACTGCTATATGAGTAAAAAGTATATCCAGGGGACCGAGTCTGGACAATGAACAGCAGCATGTGGCAAAGAGCAAGCGCAAGACTCTGCTTGCAGACTAAGTATTATACCACTTGTATGGCTACGGACGTCATGATAATGGCCAAATTTCGTCCCTTATTAACCTGTTTTTTTATTAATTCTATCGTATATCGATCTTGCCGCGTCTTATCGATATTTCGTAAAAAAAAAATACTATCTAAACTACTAATTATCAAACTGGATAAAAACTATAATTCTTATAAAAGCAAAGTTTTAACATTACATTCCTTATTCTTTTTCTTATAATCTCTGAAAAAAATCTTTTTATTTTAGAACCTCTAATGCGAAGAATGTCTCAAAGAGAAATTGAAAAAGTGAGAGAATATCGTCTGATTATTTTAAGTCCGAGTCTATTAGATGTTTTCCATTTAATGACACAAACGTCGTTCCACTTCTCTTTGTACTTTATAAGTAACAAAGACTATTCTTGCGTCAACTTGTGTCACCAAATAGAAAGCACCCATTATGGGCTGTAATATATAATACATTACCGCGTCGGAGTCTCGCGATTCGTGACCTTTCTTACGAAGAGAACCTATCTCTTTGTTTCTTCTTTTTTTTTCTATTATTATCTGAGGTTTTATAAATATAAGTTTTTAAACCAAATACGCGCGCTTCGATTTTTGTTTGTTTACTCGCGTAATCTATAATGATTATGTGCCGTTTATTGTCATTAAAATTCGGCGCATACACTACTGACTACTATATCCGCTTGCATTATTACATTTATCCGAGAAAAACCTACGATAAAATAAATATAGAGTATTTCTGAAGCGTCGTTACTCTATCTCGTTATTTGCGTCAACCGATCCACCTGTCTCATGTTTGTCTCTACGTTTTGCTTTTTTTTCTCCGAACAGCTGATCAGACTCGCAGATATAGTATATGTATACGTTAGCCTGTGTCCACTCCTTGCCAATTCTCATATTTCATATGATTTACAAAGATCCATCCACTTCCAATCATTTATAACATTAAAGCTGAAAGCGTTGATCCCTCGACATTTTTGTAAAGGACAAATCAACTTGAAAATGTTTGATCCTCAATTGAAAGAAAGTGCAATTAATTTGGGATGCACGCGATAACGAAAAAGATGTTCCTCTTCCTTGAAGCGACCAACTTTATTCCTTGGAGATACAGCGTAGCCACTCGAGCGCGAGCTGCCGTGTAACCTGTTTTCATTTTTATCGTCGGCATCAGGTTTCAGCGCAGGTGAGTCGCGGAGGTGCCGGTCGGAGTGGTGAACCAGCCTATATACACGGCACAACGTTTTCTTCTTCGTCGCAGAAATGCATTGACCTTCGAAATAAAGTAGCGCATTGGTGACAATCTACGCGCAACATGCATAAAATTAAAAAAAAAACGATAGAAAGAAACATGATATCGGGACGATATGTTTAAATCTACGTTCGGACATTCTACGTAAGCAATGCAATTTACTCGAATCGTACTATAGTTTTGATTGTTAAAAAGTTATCTTAACGATACATATTCGCTCAGGAAAATACGACAAAGTATCTTTCGTGAACAAATTTTGCCACATCGCGATTGTGTGTAAATAACCTTGTTTAATTAATATACATGAATATACTTCATATTTGAATATTGCTCTCAATTATTTCTCAATTACCATAATATATATTTAATTTGCAAAATTTCTACCATAGACATCATCAACCCCCCTAGGTCATTATCATTGGTTAAATAAAACACGTTGGATTGATAATATGTGCTTAAACATGTAATTTACATCATAATTATACATTGTGTTAACGTTTTCCACAGGATTAGTAAAGTACTGCGCGATGATAGTACGCCCAAGTCAAGTGCGATGGAAGTATAAAACTCTAAAATGACCCTTTTTATTCGGGCAATATATATCTAGCGGTGTTTCTACGCTTTCTACGCGATCTTATATAAAGAAACAAATGTCATTATTTTATTTCCCTAATTATGTTCTAATGCGCTAAATAAACGATTCCGATATTTGTTCGAGAACAAGCTTTCCTGCTCTTTCTTTCATTTCCTCTCAAACGTACGCGTTTATAATAAAGCTTCTCGCATTCATCTATATATAGATTTGCTCCTTCACAATGTCTCTCTCCCTTACTTTTACCTTCAACAATCACAGCTATAATCTTCGCTATCAAAACGTATTTTTGTCCTTAAATGGATTCTCCCCTTTGTAAGTACATTAGATACGACCGAAGAGAACATCGAATACGTAATGTTGCTTTTTTTCTTATTACTTAGTTTATACGCTATTATGTACAGTTACGAATATCAACGCATCGTGAATCCGCGATACTCGCTTGAAGCATCGAGAGTACCAGTTTCTTTCTGGACGACGCGATCATGAAAGACGATAGTACTGTTCAAAACCGGTCGATCATTTGCGAGCGCGTGGAGGAGAGGGACAGCGAAGAAACGCGAGCAAAAGTAAGAGAGAAAGGGAGAGAGGAAAAGAAGAGAGAGGGAGAGATGTAGTTTATCCTAAAACTTAAGAAAAAAAAAATAGGAGAGAATTCAAGTATCTCGAAATCGATGCGTATTATACAAATCTCTCTGATGAACAACAACGTAATTCGATCCTTATTGCAAGTTTTATCTCTTGGCCTTCTAAATCAATCACTGAAACAGAGATCGCGAATAAAAATAGCGATCAACAGCGATAGTTATATAGAAATCGGTTGGGAGTAAAAAAAAATAAAAACTGATGCATAATAACGAGGTATGGAGTACACTTTGAATAATATAAATTGAGACATGATAACAGGAACTAGATTACACAAGACCGGCTCTAAGTTTTCTGCCGCTTCACAAACAATTTTCTACTATTTTTATCTGCCTCCGTTTCCTTCATTTATACTTTTCCTAATAATATTTCTGCAGACTTTTATCGATAACTATACATTGCACTAATGGCTGCAGATTTTGGTAAAGGTTTACCAAAACACATAATCGAAATACTGCATTGAAAGTTTGTCGCCTCTGACTATAGAATGTCGCATAATTGGAAAAAAAGTGAACATATTATCTATGATAAAATCTAGAACAATGTTTTTAGTAAAAACGCCGTGCAAAGATTTTTTTATTTCTCTATATTCGACGTTTTCGATAGTTAGTAAGAAGCTTTTTAAAATTTTCTTAAAGTAAAGATCACATCAAAATAAATCATTATTTTAATCATCTATTTTATATTCGACACATTATTTATTTTCATTCCTGCAATTTAATTCGGAAAAAGTCCATAAGAAAGCACGATGACTTATAACTCGAAAAAAATTAACATTTTAATATTTTCATTAAATCAAAAATCAATATCTAAATTTTATAAGAAACACGTTCACTTTTTACATCTACTTCTCAAATTTTGATTATTGCAAGTGTATCTTATGGATACTTGCTTTACTAATTTCTACAGCCGGCCCTGTTAATGTATATGTATATGTTCCGTGCAAAACAAAAGAGATTTGGACAATACAAATAGAAGTGATTTTAAAGCATTGACTTATTGGCACCTCGTACAACATTATGTTATCACATATTAAATTATCACATGTGATAATATAATTGTCAGCCCGCCATACAATATCAAATAGATTTTTCATATTAAATAAATTGGATTCAGAATTCGACGACTCTATATCTAACGCTAATATATGCGATATAAGGGTATTGTCGCTCGTGAAAATGAAATCTGGAGACATTCAAGTAAGAATTTGATGGATATATAAATGAAAATAAGTCTGTGTAAAGTATTATACGACATGATATATATTAATTTCTATTAATTTCAGGGAATGCTTCAAGTGATACTTATAAGATTTTATGTATATAAGTAGGCTACTCAACATTTTATTGTATTATAATAATCTGATAATAAATAGTGCCATTATTTTTTCGACTATAGAGAGAAAATATTCTGCTCAACTTACATAAATAACAATCCTAACAACGTCACACGCATGTTAAGAGGATGTGTTGAATATCCGCTTTTGATGCATTATTTTTTTAACAATAGATTTTTTAGCCAATTTCCTTTAGCAAAAATGTTGAAATATTAAATCTAATATTTTCAAATTGTAAACGATTACAGATCGATATTTTACTTTAAATTCTCAATACTAAGAAATTTTCAAAAATATCATTTAGATCTCTAAATATAAAAATATTAACATTATAATTTATTATAATTAAAAGTAAAATATCAATAACAAAGTCTTACGTTCAAAATATATGGTATTCTTAAAAAATTATTGCTTCACATGAATTTTTTGATTTAATAAATGTACTTAATAAGTTGATATAGGCCCATTGTAACAAAAATATAATAAGAGTTGCGGTATTTACCAAGGATTAATAAAGACTTAATTTGAATCTTACTTGCTAAGATTCTGAAATTTTTCTTAGTATCACAGCGTACATGTTTCGTTTTGTTTTATGATGTGCATTATTTGACGTATGAATTTCTTATTTCTTACGTATTTTGTAGCTCAGAATTAATTTTCATATGAGAATAAAATTCTCCAATGTGTCTTTTTTAATTTTTCAGTAAAGAATCAACACTAAAGCCAAAAAAATTGTTTTCACTGAAATGTCTTTCGATAAATTTGTAACGCTTAATACTTATCATTCAATATTAATGAAATCACTAATCTCTCTTGCTTGAATGTCCCCATCATCAGATCTATTACAGATATCTAAATCACCGTGTAGATTGAACAAAGCTTTGTTGTAAAAAAAGGATGCCGTGTGAAGCATAGCAAAATCTTGTTTTTACGTAACTAGGTTGCATTATTTTCTTTTCTTCGTATGTCTGTCGCGTTTTGTTATTTTTCCGCTTGTAACATTTCCAACAAGTTACGAGGACATTGTGGCACAAGTAGCCTGAACGGTAAAAACCGACTTACACTTACGATGTATCACTTCCTATCTTAGTAAGTAAAATCGATCGTCTTAAAACTTTTTTCATTTCGCGAACATTGACATCGCAATATCCGATAAACAATTTTGACAGGTAAAAAGTATCAACAATTTATAGAATGCCTTAAAAAGTAGCAAAATTGCTTTACGCAAAAGAGTGCACCTCACGATTATCTACGCAATTGGCATTCCACGCAAACGCCTCATACTGTCGCATACATCGATAAAGAAAAAATCGTTTAGTGTATTGTATTTACATTACCGAGATATAAAAATACTAATGAGAAACGTATCTTTATAGACGAGGTCCTCATGCATTTTCTCACTTTCTTAGAAATTAATTAATTCATAGTCAAGTTTGGCAGTAATATTGTCCCTAGCTATTTGCATTCTTATTGTTGACAAATTTTTTATACTATTCAGCTTCCGACAAACGTATTCTTGCGGGACGCACTGCGTATTCATCATTATAGTTTCTTGTTTCAGTCTGCTAATTCCAAACTGTGCAGTGACCATTGCATGCTAAAATCTTTATTAACTTGGAAGATCTCCAATTCTCCTCTTTCAGGTTTTTATCGGGGGTATAAGAACAAATGCCCTCATTACTGTTACAACTATCATCACCATTGGCATCGGGAATACCAATCATTCGCAAAAGCATGAAATTTGAAAAGATTCGAATTTTCTCGCTGAACCAGATTTGCCAGAATCGAAAAAAAAAATTTTCAGCCGTGAATTTAAATAGTGGGTGTCTTACGAGATCGTACGCTTTCCGCGAATGAGAGGCAGTTTCTTCTTACGATACATGTGCTTTTTACAGCTAAAAGATTAAAAGTTTTAATGGAATAAAAAAATCAATAAGATATTAATTTTTTAATAAATTGAGAAAAAGCAAACGTTCAGCGAGATATCTCTTCACTACATGCTATCAACGTTCGTCGCACTTCCCGAGACAAAGAAATGTTTCGACAATCACACACGGGAATTATTGGATATCCTAATTTTAAGGAGGATAATAAAAATAATAATACTCGACACATTTGTCGCAACAACGTTCTGTAGCCTATTTTGCAAAAACAGCTCTTAATATCCACGCAAACACGCGTGCATTTGAGTGTGTATATATGTAGATAAGAATATTCAATATGCACAAGTATGTATACTCTCGCGATTCTAGAAATATAATAAATTTTATAAAGGTATGTCGCGTATATATTCGCCTCTGTGTACAGTTTCTCACTAGCGCGATTACAGCCCGAACGGGTTTATCGCGGGCGTACGGAACTGCGTGATCGTTTTACGTAAAATACGTATATACGTGGAAGAAAGAATGGCGTGAAACACGTGTTTAATGTGTTGTCGAGAGTCCCACGTTTCATTAACACTTTGTCTCCAAAGTCGCTCTCCTAACTTTGTCAGAACATTCGACATCCGGTTTCTCTTTGACTTCTGAATAACTACTACCAGAGCCTTCGGCCGATGATGTATGCGGTCCAACTTCTTCTAAGGACAATATCTCTGTACCAGTAGGCGAGTAGCTCACGGTAGTCGCTTCACTCGTTGGGGACGTTACGCAGCTGTCACCTACACTCCTACTACGCAGAGTATACCGAGGCTTTTGGAACTGTTGTATATTTAGAGACAAACTGGCCTGTATCGACGTTTTTTCCGAATTCTTCGAAGGGTTGTTCTCGGTTTGTTTCTCAGTTTGTACATCGACATGAGACGGACTTCTGGAGCGTGGAACGTGAAGCGGACTCTCTGGATCTGCTGCTAAATCAGACGACAAAATTTTTGAGCTTGCAGCTAATCTACTTGCGCAAGGAGAATACTTGGGCAAATTTATCGTGATTTTGTCAGCGCCTACTGATAGAGACGATCGGCCAAATTTTTTCAATGGACTGCAAACAGATTTTTTCTTTTTTAACTGCTTTGCGTCATTATAGGAATCTAAGCTTTCGACAGAATCGTTCTTCTCCTGTTCCTTGCATTTGTCAAGATTTCTCTTCATTTTACTCGTACATGTACAATTCCAAGGAAACTTCTTCGTGAGTTCTGTAGTCTTTGCGTGTGTCGTATCGGGCCTTTTAAACTTTGTAATATTATCTACAATTGAGATTTTATTATAATAACGTTGCCTACTGTCTTTGTTACTGTTAACCGAGTCCATCGCCGACTCTGTACAATTGTACTTAAATCGAGATCCAGGAGACTTTTTTTCAGTAGGCTGAGTAAAAGTACCTCTACAATCAGTAATATCCTTTTTAATATCACCAGAAACATTAGAAAATGATGCAACCGATTTCTCTCCAATCGCACATTGTCGACAATCCTCCACAAGTATATCAATTAAAGTCGTGTGAGTTCTTTGACTATCTGTCTTTTTCTGACTTTGACCAAATGAATTCTTTAAGCTTCTATGAACAATATTTTTTTGAGCAAAGGGATTTTTCAAATTTTTTGGTAGATAGGTATGTTTCTTGGCGACCTTTCCAGTATGGTTCAATTGAAAATTGTGACAATCAGTCACTTTTTCAGTGGTGGTGCTTTTGTTCTGGTCTTTGTCTTTTGTGCACGTAGAAGAATCTTTCTGCTTTGAATTCTTATTCTCCGATCTCACACTAGATTTTTTCGAATTATCTTCGACATTTGGATACTCGTCTTTGGAACGCGTTTTCTTGAATGAATCTGAATAATAAGTTTCCTGATTTACGGCCTGCTGCTGATCACAAAAGAAGAATACATCATCTACGGAGGCGAAAGATGATTCTTCATCACAGGGAAGGACAGGTGTCTTCTCCCCTGTGGGAGGCGACTGCTAGACAAGCTTCTCCGTTGGTGAGCTTGTCGAAATGGAACTGATGGTATTAGAATTGTTGGAAACGGTACGTCCTTGACTGTTCGCATGCATATGGCCCCCTCCCTGTCCTCCCTGACTCTGGGAGAGGCTGAGTCGCCGTCAGTTTATCAATTCCACGCTTACAAATTGTTTCAGTCGTTCGAGGTATTGATTGTATAACTCTACATCATTGTGCCCAGCACCCTGAAAAATATCCAAGATTATTATTATCACATTTATAATGGAACATACATTGGATATTTTATCGATCACAGTGCTTATATTATGCATTTGTATTTAAAATTTTTCATACATAGCAGTCTTTAATTTAAATATGAAAAGTATAAACAAAGCGCGTAACGATACAATAATATGAGTCAAAAAAAGGTCAAGAAAATATTAAATACTTTTAATATAATAATATATATATAATATTAATTATTTTATAATACCTCAACCCATAATGGTTCCACTGCTCGTGGACATCTTTCGTAAATAGCCAGACCATGGCTAAAGTTTATAACTTCGTCTTCGGTACCGTGAATGACCAGAACAGGAGACGTTACTTTCGGCACTTTATCTATGCTGTAAAGAAATATAGAAAAATTACATTTATACATTATCACAATGTCAATATACAAAGTAATTTTTATATTAAACCTTGTTAAGTTCTATTTTTTTTCTATCAATCTTATATATTTTTGAAAGTTTATTTATATTTTTTCATTTATTATTTTATTTTATTTTATATTTTATTTATTATTTTCCTGTTCTGAAATTTATTAAAGAACATATTAAAATTATTTTAGATAAAAAGTTAAAATTTACGATCGATACGTTAGCCGAGTATAGAATCTTTTTTTTTCTACAAATAAATCATATCCCAATAAATTGGCATTAAAGATATAAACTTTAAATAATTTTTGTACATGTAAAATATGTCTACATAATTACATAAATCAATATGTATTGAGAAACAAAAAATATTACAAAAGATATAAATTGTTTCATTGAAAGTTATTTATTATACTGTCAATAAATTTTTGATAAATACAATTAAATTCCGGTATTACTTATTTCCTACATTTTTCTGCAATTTATTATCTTTGCACTTTAACTGTTTCAATTTAGAATGGCTTTGCGCAAGAAGTCATTTTCATTTTACGCATACATTATTACCTAACAAATAGAAAATAATAGGAAAGCAAAATAATAAGAGAAACGATAAAGTATATAAAGATAGAATAAATAATGTCGAACGACTCTAGTATAACATTCAAATATATATAATCGGAATTTTTTATTTTCCATTCAGCAGAAGTATTTTTTGGAATGTTGCAACACAATTCAGTATTTTTATACCTCACTCACACATTATACTAATAGTTAAATGTATTTTGTAAACACAACAATGAATGAAGAAGAAAATACTATCCACAACTGTTCAAAACATTAAAATTTTAGTAAATAAAAAATAAAAACTGGACTGCAATTTATAAAAGAGGCTAAAAACACAATTTATAAATAATTATTTTCCACAAATTCAAGTATTTTAGTACTGCAACAAGTTTAAATAAGAATGGAAATGTGTTGAAAACAAAAAGCATGCTTGTTGGTCACGCATACCTATGTCAATTGTGATGTGAAACATGTGAATAGCTTGTTGTGAAATAATAGATGTATTACAGTTGGTGAAATCATAAAACATTTGCAAATTAGTATTAAAAATATTGAAATTAGTAAAAAACTAAAATACACTAAAGTAAATGCTCGTTGGATATCACAATGGCACAGATTACTAAGATCATTTTGAAAAAATTTCTAATAACAAAATATCAAGATTGCAATAGATACATTATTAGATATCATAAAAAAAAATCTGTAAGAAACTGATTAGAGAGACGCATTATGACAAGAATGCAACATGTAGGTTTCATTTACATAAATACATTTCCATGTGACATAAATATACATTTGTCGACTTCACACTTGTGTAGCTTCTCAACAAGATAATAATTTTACTATAAAATAAAAAAGAAAACATTTTTGTATTAAGCTATTGATTTTCTACTAATCACTGTGAATTTCTAATACATACTTGTTAACTGTTTTAATCTGTAGGTTACAATATGGAAAACAATTTCTAGATGTGTTAAAAGGTGAGAAATAATTTTTGAGTGAAAAAAGGATGAGAAATATATGTTGATGCGAGTTTTGACTTGAATCCTCTCATCTCGCTTGATTTGGAACTTGCATGGTTCCTGCGATGAAAACATGTTTTGACCAAGGAGGACATTTCCTGCTTACCTGGTGAAAGCATCAAAGAACCAAGTTCTTTTGGTTTTCGGGAAAGCAACCCGCATCCCGGACATGAGCGGTGAATGCAGCACTACCGCGCCGACCTCGTATCTCGCAGCAAGATCGACTGTGGGGACAGTGCCGATACTTTGTCCGTAGAGTATTATGTTTTCCGGACTGATGCCGTAACGTGTACGTAGTGCGTGCCACGCGGCGTCGATATCCGCGTATAGGTTCTTCTCGGACGGCTTGCCACCCGATACCCCGTAGCCCGAGTAATCGTAGCTGAATATATTGCAGTTTATGCGCGAGCCGAGCCCAAGGTAGAAACTCGACATCTGGCCGAGATCGACAGCATTCCCGTGCGAAAAGAGAATGGTGAAACGTGCGGTCGCCGAGCAACGTACGAATAGGCATGCTATGCGGTTGCCGCGCGACGTCCTCGCATAGAAACCTTCCACCGACTCCTTCTCGCGTTCGGTATACTGCCACTCGGCACGTTCCGATAGAGAAATGGAGAACTTGGAGCCCTCGTCCTCGACAAACGTGTACGTGGGCTCGGGCGGCAGGAAGGCTAATTTGTCTGCGATTCTGGACGGGCAGGGCGGACAACAGAACAGGCAACACAGTTCACTCAGGCTTAACCCGTTCATCGTGTAGCGCAAAGCGCACCGGGATGAACCACGCACTAAACGCGGCGGCCGCGCTGTCTCTCTTCTCTTTTATCACCCCCTGTTATCTCCCTCTGGCGAAGCTTCGGCATGGAGCTCTCCAGCGTCCTGGGCTCAATCAAATTCAATCAAATCGAGTCTCGAGATTCGAGTCGATCGACTGATCCGGCGGAGAGGCACGTCCTTGTCGCGCGAGATCGAAACGAATACTTCGATTTTTCATCACTCTAATGAATCACTCGCGGCGCGTCATTTATTATTATCGTATAATGTAACGAGAATCGCTCACGATTGCTCACAATGATTCAGCCATGACGGCTCGTGGTGAAACAGACGGACCATTTCTCTCCCACCTCGCCTCGTTCTTTCTTTCGCCTCTTCTTTTTTGCCAACACCGTGTCCCCACTCACTCCACGTTGCGTACTTTCATTGTGCAAGGTAAGACAAAGCGCGAGACAGAGACGAGGGTCACAATCCACTTTGCTCGCGTCACATTCCCATTCGACACCTCGGACTGCTCGGAGTGGCTCGGCTCGGAGCAGCTCGGTCTGCTCGGAGTGCCTTCACCGATCACCGATGCTTCTCTTGTCGCCGTGTCGTTGTCGTTCTCGGGTGTCAGACGATGACAGTCG